AAGGCCTTGGCTTGGATCACTATTGTCACTACACAAGGAACATTGCCCTGATTTTCCAAATCTCTACACCTGCATCGCTATTTCACATTGTTTTTATATAAATTCCCAGAACATTTAGTTTATTGTTTGTTTCGTGTGACAGAGATCATTGGCAAAATCTGTTTTCTTAAAAGTCCCATAAACTAAACTATTTAAAAAATGTCCAAGCAGGCTTTCGTGAAATGAAACATCAGGTTTTAATTAAAAACCTCCCTGGTTGATTTTGCCAATCTGATATATATATATAAAATACAATTTATCCAATCCTCACAAAGTTAGATTCACAACATATTCTTCCACAGTATCTCATTTCCACTCCAAACAAAATGTAATTGCTTGAATGTTTAAGATAATACATTTCAAAATACAAATAAGAAATACGGTAAATTAAGAAAAAGTGGATGGCAAAGATTTATATGTGTTTTTTTCTCCAAAAGACTAAAAACGTTCCCCTTAAAAATGATGCTGTGTAAGATGAAAAAAAGGTGGAACTTCAATATGCTCTGAATACATATGTATAATCCAGTGTGGAAATTATTTTCCAAAGTAGAGCATATTTTCATAGTAAGAGACCTCTTACCATGAGAGGGAGGGGTGGGCGTGAGGAATAGCAAAAGTTTTATTTATTCCTTATACAGAGAGTACATTCTTATAAACATGCTAACGGGCAGAACATAGTAAGTTTAACTCCTTTACTGCATCCTTTTTCTGAATCTAGCCATTAGTATGTACATGCTTAGTCTTATGAAGTCACTACATTGGCAAAAAGTAAAATAAAATGAAAATAAATACTTAAAGGACCCACTTACGTGTTCTGAGATTACTCCTACCTAGCAAGTATTAAAAATTGACTTACTGCTGTATGAGACCAGACCTATTGAGACAGCCAAGAAACCAACTGTATAGCTTTTTTGATATCTAGTTGTAGTTTCCCCTTTTCTTTCCATTTTTAGTGGGAAGGACTGGAGTACTGTGACCACCTCATTTTTATCTATTAAGAATATGTATTAACAAATTTATCTTCCTGAAACAATCAATATATATTGAATAAGTAGTTAAAATACATCTATAATAAATACAATTTTTCCTTGCCATTCCTTGAATTAAAAAAATGATAATGCTAGGAATAAGACCACAGAATCAATCTGATATGACAATTCTTCCCTGTAAATGCTAAATTCAGGAACTGAACAGACACACAACTGTCTATGAAAATTACTGTTCTTTAAAATGGAACAGAAAAAGAAAAATATATAGGTGGCAGAGATGCATGCTATTTTATCAGTTTCACTACAAAGAGTGAAAAGCATTATATGAGATATTTATGAGAAAATCTACAATCTAGAAAATCTATTGCTGGGTCCCTCAGCAATTTTATTCTATTTTTATTATAGTTATATCCTATTGCAATCTGTTGATTCTTGGAATGTAAACTTTCACATAATCTATTTAACACGCTAGAGAAATTCAATATAGTGCATATTACATTCCAAGTTTAGAACATTTAAATGTATTTGCAAGTATGATGGGCAAAGAATAAAAAAAAAGAGCACAGTGGGAATGAATGCATCCTTATTATCACTTCTTCCCTACTATGATACTAGTTTAGTTTTATTTAAAGTCATAGACCAGCTGCCAGAGAATTCTAAAGGAACAGACAATACAGAGACTAGAGACAAAAAAATTATAGTTTTTAAAAAATAAATGCTATATAATGTTAATATGTAAAAGTTTACAAAGGATCAAGAAAGCGTATTAATCATGTACATAATGTGAAAGTAATTGGACTGTGTAGATTATTAATATTTAAAAACGGCAAGGGCTTAATTTGTTCCCTTCAATAGCAATTAGTCAACATTTGTCTACTTTCTCTAGATTGTCTTCTGCAGATAGACATTACTTTTCTAGTCCATTGACCTCAGGACTATTATACAGATAGTCCTTCCCTTATGATCATAATAAAGCCTGCTCATTACGGTCACAAGGAGTGATGATTGTTAAGCAAGACAGCCTCACTTAATGGCCTACTCCAGGGGTAGGCAACCTTGGCTCTTTTATGACTCGTGGACTTCAACTCCCAGAATTCCTGAGCCAGCCATGCTGAGGAGAAAGGAAGAGGTTTCCAAGCTGAGCTATGCTGGCTCAGGAATTCTGGGAGTTGAAGTCCACGAGTCATAAAAGAGCCAAGGTTGCCTACCCCTAGCCTACTCAAACCTCCCCGCCCTCCCAAACGAAGCTTTCCTCAGCACTGCACAGACCATTTCAGGGAAGCAGAACCAAGGGGTCCATTCCTGGGCCATGTGGCAGTTTCCTGAAAGAGGCCCCTGCAAGGACAGGATGGAGAGGAGAGAGGCTGCAGCATCCCTGCAATCAGTCTTAATAGCAGAGGCCACATCAGATAGCCTGGACACTTTAGCTCAGGGATGTCAAACTCAATTTCAATGCATCAGCATTGCGGTTGTCCTCAGGGGGCCGGGTAGGTGTGGCCAGGGTGGGTGTGGCCTACTGGGTGGGCATGGCTGGAGTTGGTGTGGCCTACTGGGTGGGCATGGCCAGCTCTACATTGTTTGCGTCAAGGGTGCCTGTGGGGCCTGGGCAGGAGTGGGACAGATCTGAGGGTCTCTGGCAGAAGGGGGTGGGACCAGGCAAGTGTCAAGGCATGGTCCACCGGAAGAGCCTCACTGTTCCTCTCAGGCCATGCCGGGGGGGGGGGGGGGCTGGATAGTGCCGCGGCCTTCCCAGAGCCCTGGGTAGCAGAGGTCAAATCCCCAGCCCGGCTCTCAAGCACCCACGGCACCAAGCCCAGCCCCACTACCCCAAGGGGGTGCCCAGTTGCACTTACCTCCTCCTCAAGACTGCTGCTGCTGTGCTTGCTCTCCTTGTGGAGCTAAGACTGAATGCATTTCAGCATAGATGGAAATTGTACATTGGCTCCCGGGCGGCCTGGACTGAGGCCAAGGCAGTGGGGGCTATTCACTCACTGTTTCCAGGATGACTTCGTGGGCCACATGAAACCACGTTGCGGGCCGTATCTGGCCCCCGGGCCTTGTGTTTGACATGTCTGCTTTAGCTTATTGTATTAATTTTGAGCACTAAGCGCTGAACAAGGGGCATTTCAATAAGATATGCTATCCCCTGAGCTACTTGAAAACTTATGTTGAAACCATTAAACAAATTAATGTAATATTCCTAGCCCAGGGGTAGGCAACCTTGGCTCTTTTATGACTCGTGGACTTCAACTCCCAGAATTCCTGAGCCAGCTATGGGAGTTGAAGTCCACGAGTCATAAAAGAGCCAAGGTTGCCTACCCCTGTCTTAGCCTGAAAACAAACACAAACTCTTTTGGTTTGCATTTGCATTTGCTTTCTTATATAACTTATATAAATGGCATTGGTAAGATATTAAATCTTTCCAGGGAACAGCTTTTTGCTACAGCACTTAGAGATGCTAATTAAACAATTAGCTCAATTAAATATTCTTCCTTCCAAACCACATTCATAATAGCAGGAGATTTCTCTCCAATCCTTATGGGGATCAATGTTGAGGACACATTGCTTTAATTAAAATAGGTTTGACTAAACCTAAGGAATCAAATATTAGATTGAAAGACCATAATATATAAGATCAAGTTTGATTCCTTTTTTCCAGGTTAACCAGAAGTTATCCAAAAAAGTCAAGGAGGCTGAAGATCAACTTTGCCCTAAACCTAAGGCAAAAAAAACAAAAACAAAAAAAACCACATGAGAGCCTTTACAGAAGCAAGTGCTGATTCCTGGTGTAACTAGAAATAATATATATTATAAATTATAAATAAATTAAAAATGTTGATTGGACTACATTGGTCTTGGTCTTGAGTCTTTATAAGAGCCATTCTGGGAATTATGAAACCAAAAAAGTAATCTCTTTAGGAGAACTAAGGAGAACTAAAGGAGAACTAAAGTGGATTTGTGAATCAAATTTAGCAAGATGGAATTTATTATTTTCCAGAATATAAAAATTAAAAAAGAATGTAGCCAAAACACAACCTTGTTTAACTTCTTTCTAGATGGGAAGTGACTCAAAAAGACAAGCAGGGGCATTTATAATTTCTTTGAAGGTTCTCTTGAAGGGGGTGTTCATGGTTAAAATTAGGAGTTTTCAATCAACAGCAGATATTGTCAGCTTCATTCAAAAGCCCCAAAAGTCTGATATCACTAGTTTTTATATTGCTGTCCCCTGAGCTACTTGAAAACTTATGTTGAAACCATTAAATAAATTAATGTAATATTCCTAGCCTGAAAATGAACACTTGGCAATTCCCATCTGCTAGGAAAGCTGCGAGTACAATCATAATTGATGATGATGATGATGATGATAATGATGATGATGATGATGATGATAGTTGGAAGGGACCTTGGAGGTCATCTAGTCCAACCCTATACCATTTCGGACAAATGGCTGTCTAATCTCTTCTTAAAGACTTCCAGTGTTGGAGCATTCACCGCTTCTGGAGGCAGGTTTTTCCACTGGTTAATTGTTCTAACTGTCAGGAAGTTTCTCCTTAGTTCTAGGTTGCTTCTCTCCTTGATCAGTTTCCATCCGTTGCTTCTTGTCCTGCTCAAACGTACTCAAACGTAATGGAACACCATATATGTGCATGCCATATATGTGATCTGGATAGTTCTATGGATTTTCATACTCTATTTAACATTAAAATTTGCATACATCTTTCATTTTGTGATTATTTTTTATTATTCCTCAGTGGTTTCTAGCTGTTTTTTTTAACCATCATCAACATTTACTATCAGCATATCGAACACTGCACAAAATCTAAAAGTGAATAGAGTTCTCATCCATTCACTAATATATCGATGAGAATTTAGAGCAGGGAAGAATGTACTAGATTATTAGGTTTGATTCCCCATTTGCAGTACAAAAGAGCGCAAGGGTCATACTGGGGATAGGCTTCAGCATACACTTACCCCTCTGCCCATCAAGCCATTGTTGAAAGGAAGGCCAATAAAGCTGAAGGCTGCCTCCTGTATAAAATATGGATTCAGGATTCGGATCTCATGGGGCTCTCTTGGAACATGGGTCGCCACAGATTTCCAGAAGCCATCAGAAGCACTCTGTAAAAATGTAAAGGGTCATTGCAGATGGTTAGAGAACCCAAGTCCTGATTTCCTTTTGAACTCACCAGAATGATATAAATGAAATACAAATCAGGAATTGCATCTGGAATCTAACTGTTAATTGTGATAAAAATTGGGAAACAATGTAAAGAACTAAAATAATGGGTCTGTTTCAACTAGTCTTATTTGGATCTTTAAGATAGATTCTATCCATAGATTCAGCTATCTTTGGAAATTACACATGATTTATAATCCAGGTCTTGTTAATGAACGCAACTGTTGAGAAAACAGAGGGCGCAATGCATATTAGAGGGGAAAAATCACTTAGTAGTGTAGCTTGGTTGATCTCACAAACTAAGCACATTTGGTTGGAGGATTCTCTGGGAATTCAAGGGCTAGACACGAATTTAAAAAAAACCCTGGAAAGACTAACACTAACAAGTAAACTGCAATCACAAGAACTTGAATTGTGCTTAAGGGCATTTTAATTTTGATTGAAATACTGCACACAACATTTACAATAAATAATTTACACAGAGAGCCTTCATACTTCAAAGATTTTATTTCAAATTCATATTTCAAAATTTTTACACAAGACATGCTCCTCTAATGGAACACAACTCCTTAATAGAAAGAAGAGATGCATTCAAGAATTGCATGGGTATGAACATATATTATATCCATATCCATGCACACTTTGCTTTTCTGAAATAATGAGAAAAATGAAACTTAACTCAAAATATGCTTAGAAGAAAAAAATACGATCCCGCTGGGCTGTTCCATAGACTGACCACCAAGACTGGTAGTATATTCTTTTGTTTTCACAGTGAACTATACAGACAGTGTGCCCTTTGCACTTGTGGACTGTAGGGAAAACAGAATGTCTACAGAAAAAAGCACCTCATAAATCCAGGACAGGGAGAACTCTGACAGATTAGGAAACTAGGCTCTCAGCTCATGTCCAAAATGGATTACATATCTTTATTTACTATAGTTTGGTCTCTGTTTTCTTATGGTACCCAAGGGAAAAAGAATTATTTGAAAATCTACAACTGAGGAAAGATTAGTGGAGACACATCAAGTAGTTACAGAGTGTCTGCTGTAGCATTGATCTCTTCCAAAATAATCAATTTTTTTAAAAAAAAATCTTGTTAAAAATACACTAGTCCTGGAACGTAGTGAGCCATGTAAGATTGGGATCATATTCTCAATGAGCTCCACCAACACAATCCCCAGTGGATCTAGAAACATGCCAATTTCACAACACAGTAAAATCAGAAATTGCTCCAGAGGCTGTGTCTATTTCAAATTAAAACCTGCAAATGTACAATTAACAAACTGTTTTTAATAATTCCCATGAGTCATTCATTATTACTTGCTTCCAAAAAGAGTTATAAAATCTACTGGGATTTAATGATCAGCTAACAAAAAGAATCCAATGGGCACTACTGATTCCTATTCTTTCTTTCTTTTGTCTTCTTTTCTCCCTCTATTCACTGAGACTGTTCTTCACTTTAAATTTTTATGATTATCTAGCAATGGTTAAATTGTATATGGGAAAAATCTTCTTGATAGATGCATTGAACCAGGAGAGTACAATATATAGTCCTTAATTTACGAACACAATTGAACCTGATATTTCTGTTGCTAAGCAAGACAGTTGTTAAGGCAGTAACCCAGTTGTTAAGTGAATCTGGCTTCCCCGTTGATTTTGTTTGTCAGAAGGTGGCAAAAGGTGATCACATGATATTGAGACACTGCAACCGTTATAAATATGAGTCAGTTGCCAAGCATCTGAATTTTGATCATGTGACCATGGGGGTGCTGCAATGGTCATTGTGAAAAACTTTTTTTAGTGCCATTGTAACTTTGGTCACTAAATGAACTGTTGTGTGTTGCAGACTACCTGTAATGTATTTGCACTGTTGGAGAGAGCCTGCTATAACTTTCCATATAAATTCATATACTTACATTAAAAACTTTTGCATAAGGCTGAGGCCAATCTCTATTTGATGACATGGGAGAAGATCATGGCATATGAAGCAAATGATTCATATATAGTAATATTTGCATGTTACATTGTAATAACTCTTGATTATTGCATATGATCAAAGCCAGCAATATTCATATGGTAAACGTGTGTGTGTGTGTGTGTATGTGTGTGTGTGTTTATGAAAAAAATGTTCTTACTAACGTACATGATTTATTACTTTAAAGATGAAACACTCGCCTCTCCAGCACAAAAGAAATATTAAAAATATGCACATTTTGGGGAATCAGAGTTCAAAGAAATATACCATGCAGATCAGCAAGTATTTGAGTATACTGATATGGAAATAAATGTAAATGAAAACTGGATGGGAGAAATGTTGCAGCCTCCTTGGGGGGGGGGAAACCCTCATTTGTTTTTACCCTTAAAATTTAATTAATAAATTGTATTTAATAAATGTAATCACATTATGTCTATTCCCCTAACTAGTATGCATTCTCTGATTGGGTAATATAATTTATGTTTCTAGTTGAAAAAGTAGGAAGCAGTAGGCTGAGGTTGGTAGCATAGATTCCAATTGAAGAATAATACTGTTGGGTGGGTTTTGTCTTAATTTGGGCTTTGTCAGGTCAAAAAATATAGTAACTTTGATTTCAAACTATTAAAGACTTCTTAATAATGAGATTGCAAAATTTATGACCCTGAGCCACATGAAGTCTCCCCCTAAGTCTTGAGCACGATCCCTCTGTGGTGTCAATGATCAAACATGGAGGTGATAATATCAACATTTGGTGGTTCTTTGCTCTCTCAAACCTGGACAACTTGCCATCATTGAAGGAAGCATGAATTCTGCCACAATCCTCAAATATTACTGAGCCGAAGCAGTTCACCATGGAGGAATGGATCAAAAGTCCTATACAGTGACACAAAAAACTGATTACTAGTTGCAACTACTGCAACTACAATTACTAAACCTAAGAGGATAATTAGTTTTTCACATTGGCATGTGGGGTGTTTTTGTGTATGAAAATAAATACAAACTTTTGTGTTTTTTATATTCTCTCTTTCTCTCTCACACACACAAAATTCTGATAATATTCAACTGCAAAAATCTGCAAAAATTAAAAAAAATAAAAATAAAGCAAATAATTTTCTATGCATGAAACATTTAGAACTATAAATTTATTTACTATTGGGATGAAGACACTCTTCAGGTTAGGGAGCTGGAAACATCCCAATAGGAACTGATGCTGTGCAGTTAATCTGACTTTCAAGAAGCAGAAGATAAGAAGACTAAAGAGTAGATCTGCAAGACTCGTGGATTTATCTTCCATTTTATCCCAAGTCAAAATGATACAGTGTTTCCATTCTCAGTGTATTTTGAAGATAGATAGTTTTTGGCCAGGAGGCATATTTTGAATTCTAATAATACACTGTGGCACTCATGTAAAATAGCTGTCAGGACAGGGGCTCATCTTTTCAGTGGCATGGAAAGTGTGACCAGTCTCAAAATATCCATTTCCTTAAAAGTAAACTGATAAGGGAGCTTTCCAAAATGCTCTTTATCCTTCAACTTAGTTTCACTGCTTTTGTTTCCAAGAAAGGCTAACATGACCTTGGGCCAGTCACTCTCTCTCAGCTCAACTCATCTCTCAGAGTTGTGGTGGGGAAAATAGGAGGAGAAAGTTGTGTTGCTAATGTTCAATTCCTTGAGTTATTTGTAAAAATAATAAAGGCAGGAAATCTATCAAATAAACAATGGTTGGAAGCATCACTATTTCAATGAACTGAAGAGGGAAGCTTCAGGTCTGCCTAGAATTTGGCTAAATTGGGCAAAGGACTGGAATCTGGAACACTTTTGCCCCCTCCCACAAGTGAAGTCATATGTTTATCAGAATTATGTTTACAGAAAAAAAATGAGTCAAACTTCTAAAAAGGAAGAGCAAGAGAGGTGCTAGTTATGAGTTAAGGGTTGTAAAATAGATTTGGGAAAATGGAATCATTTTATCCAAGGAAGTAGGCATCAAAGCAAGACATATACAAACTGAGTTTGCTTACACCTTCTCCAGAATCTCCCAATGTCCAATATAGAGTGGAATGTATTCTGTCACTTCAGCAAAGACATGATGCATGGAAGAATATGTACAATATAAACAGAAGAGCAATTAGAAGATGGAATACCTGGTTAGTATCTTAGCTTGCAAGTGAATGAATCTATTTCCCTCTCCTTTGAACTTGTCAACATTCAGCCTTCTCTCTCTACAGGACATTAAAATTGTTTTCATTATCAGATGGGGAGTTGCATTCTTAGAGCTATTTGATTCTCTGGCAAATGCATGTGCCAACGGTAGAGTTAAGTTGGGAAATTTCAGGGAACCCTTCTTGATGTTAGCCAAATGCCTGAACCTGACAGAACTGAAGAAAAGCTCTACTGAGGGTGTTAAAAAAAGAAAGGTATCTCAAGAATTTGTGAAGGATATTAGTACTGCTAATATTTCTAATCCTTTGTGTTAATGTGTTGGATATGCTCAGAAAGAAAATGCATATCTATTTTTCATCACAGAAAGCCAAACAAGAAAGCCTAAAAAAGTACTGTTGCTAAACTCTTTCCAAGCACTTTGTTTACCCATATTCCATTAAGTCTCTTCCCAGAAAACTGACAAATTTTTATATAATTATTTGCAGGAAGGAACTATATTTCCTTCAGTGAGCAATGAACTCTCACAACAAAGAACATTTGTGATCAAAGACAGTTACATTACAAAAGTAGAACCTGAGCAAAACAAACATGATGGAAATTTTCTTGGACGCTCCCACCCTTGGTTGCAAAAAGATCAGGAGGCATTGGATAGCACCATTCCAACTAATACATTGTATTAAAAGATATCAGCAGCAGCTCACTTCATCATAAGAGAAAAATATTCAAAAGAAAAAAGAGAGAGAAATAAAATAACCCCCAATGCATAAAAAGATAAGATAATCTTCATTGTCATTTTTTACTATGAGC